CAGGAACTTGACCCTTTCTGCGTCTGTTTTAAATGCCCCTCCAGTTTGTCCACCCCTCGGTAGCCAAAGTGGTTCATTAAAAACGTAATTCTGATCCTTTCTCCTCTCTTCTCCAAGCTTCTAGCACCTTCTCAGGTTACACAGAATAGATGCCAACAGCCCACAAGACCCTTGACCGTCTGTCCCCAGGCCCACCTCTCTGTCTTCTCCTCCGAGAGTCTTCCCACACCACCGATGCTCTTGATGACATACTTGCAATTTCTGAAATATATAGGGGGATTTCTGTTCCTAACACCTGTAGATATCTAATGCCTGTAGATATGTCCATCTAGGATCGTCTTCCCATAGGTGGTCCCAAGTCTATCTCTGTTCAAATACTACCCTGTGAGAAGGTTTTTCTGATGACAGTTGATTTTAAAGTAACAAGTCCTGATATTTTCTATTCTCTTAATCTTTGCTGGACCTGTAACCCTCTGACCTCTTGTCTTTTCTTCATGTGTATCCTCTCTGTAAAAATATCACCATAATGAGAACAAAGGGTTTATGGCATATCAGGCATAAATTAAGCCTCTGGTTGAGTGAAGCCTTGAAAAATATGATTTGGGCTGGAAAGATGGCTCAGTAGTTTAGAGCACTGGCTGCTCTTTTAGAGGTCTTGTACTCAATTCCCAGCACCTATATGGTGGCTCACAACCATCTAGAAGTCCAATTTTGTAGGATCCAACACCCTATTCTGGCCTCTACGGGTAACAGGCATGCATTGGTTCACAGACGCACATGCAGGCAAAACACCCATACATGTAAAAACACAACAAATCTTTCTAGAAATGTTTTTAGAAAAATGAAAATGTTACTTATTTGGCCTGGGACAATGGCAAGCCATGGAGAGCAATTAACTATCTCTTAAAGGGGAAGACATAATGGCAGTTGAATGGCTCACTTTGACTGCCGAGGGATGAACAAGCAAATGGCCATCAACGATAGATGCAATAGATGCAGAAAGGCCAGCTAAGGACTAGTCCAATAACCTGAGTGACAATGATTTTTGCTACAACATTGGCAATGGAAGAGGTAAGAAAAAAATCAGGCAGGGAGATATCTTCCTTCCAGTGCCATCCTCAGTATACAGTATATACTATACGTGGTTATGCATGCACTACGTCTTGTTTTCTGCATTTGCTTGGGACCTCACTTCATCTAGGATATTAAGGATCTACTATATTCAGATCTTATTAAGTTCCTTGGACCGAGCAAGGAAAAGTGGACTGGTGATTCTGAAGTTATATAACAGATGTGCTGGAAGGAACAAGAGAAACGAGAATAGTAAAGTGCCTTAAATGGGGCAATTCTCTTACCCCATCACCACCAAGGCTCAGAGAACAT